GCGTACACCGAAACGACAAACAATCTATCGTGGCGACGGCTGCTTACTTGCACGAACCTCGGAGTCTCACTGCGCACAACCTACTGTTGACTGGGATCCAGTCCAGGAGTGCGGCTTCAGCTCTCTCGCTCAGAGCCACGCCGACACCAGCGAAACCGGAAGCCGTAGCCTCAGGGTCCCCAGAGAAGCGTAAGTGAAACTTCACTGATAGGTTTGACGGGGACGTCAATCGGATAATGGAGCTGGAGTCTTGAATGCAAGTTTCTTGGATATAACACACATCGATGGCTAGGGTTTTGAGCGTACGAGCTAAACACACCTGTTGTCCTATACGCATCAGAGTACGCACATTAAACGTAGCTAGTTTGAAGGGACATCGAGGGTGAAGAAGGGCTTCAGTTGTTGGAGGATTCGGTGAGACTTGGATGCTAGTCGAGGTAGGACAAGAACGAACAGCGGCAGAATTTCCGCCCGAGGCACTACTGTTATTACAATCGTCTGAAGCGCCCGGGAGAGATGCAGGAGTGTTGGGGAGGTAGAGATGAACTGGGGAGAGGCTGAGAGAACAAGAGGGCGTGTACGGTTTAGAATAGATGACTTGTGCAGGTGACTGTGCCTACATTTCAGTCAAAAAATGTGTTCACCTTTACAATGGGACAAAAAGTGAAATGAAAATTAATACTCAACAATAATGAAACTTAAATATATCATAATAATAATATCATATAATAATATACACATATAAACTTATATGGAACCAAATATTACCAACTAGTAATTAATTGACACGCGAATCCTCTTGCTTTTGGTGTTGGTGGCGCAATGGTTTGGTCGCTGTTACCTGTTTGCTTTAGATCCTATGGTCTGAGGTTCGAGCTCTGTCACCGCCACTCGACTTTGGTGGTGTAGGCAGCTTTGCTGTCGCCCGGTTCAATACCACACCTAATCTAGCGGAGTCTTAGGTGGTTCCACACTGAAAGTCCCGGGGCTTGGGTTACCGATTTCCATCACCGAATAATAGGTCCTCATGACTATGTTTTTACCCCGTCTTCTGTTCATCACACTTGGCAACGACAAATTGGCCTTCGATTTCAGTTTCCGTTTTCAACTCATTCAGACGCAGGGAATCAGAGCCCCACTGCTGCTACTACCACATTTCTCCTATGAACAGATTTGCTGTCACATGGTCTAATGTTTCATCTCTGCCCAGTGGGGGTGGGTGCATCACTTGAAAAGCTAGTTCCCGGTTTTCATCACTGAACAATGCGCCCCTGTGACCATACAGCTCACCTGTTGTATCACTCATCATTCCAAGACGAATGAAAACAAAATCTGCTGTAACGTTCGGCTAACGACACGACTGGACTAGTTTGGACCGTGACCCAAACGATACGTGCGGCAATACTGACCACAAACAGAAAACGTAACGATCCAGTGACCGAGTGAATACAACAGGAATACACCCGACTGCGGTACCCAGCGCAATTCCCTGGAGAACTGGGTGAATACTCCGCGAGAGTAGTACAATCCCCGCACGCATTTAGAGAGAAGACGATGGACAGGGCTTCAGTTGAGGTTGAATATTAGGCTCGATCCGAAAGGCGATAGCTGTGGACAACTCATCTGTTTATACACAGTTTCGGGATTCACCATTGATGACCTTGAAAATAAGCTCGAAAGCACGGAGTTCTGAGAAAAAAGACCAATCATGAACAACTATGGCCGATGATCTGAACTGAGGTTTTCCTGATGCGAAAATATTAGAAATTGAAATTTTTGAAAAATAATCAATAAAATAGGAAAAAGCAAAGGTAAATAGTCACTTTTATGAGAGAAATAGTCTTTTCCTCATCAAAATCGTTGTGAAAAATAGATGAAAACACGTCAATTGCGAATGAACTTTGAAAAGCAAAAAGGGTTAAATCTAATGACACCGTTGTGCATGTTTTTTCGGTTCATTTATTTATTCGCTTAGCCAGTATCTTAGATCCCATCAATCTGGCAGTTTGATTCTACCAGTCCATTGCTGTCAAACAAACAAGACTTCAGAATACTTCACCTAGAATATCAATAATGCACTTAATTTGGTCCATTTTCACCTATTTTCCTACTTGGTTAGCATCGCTCAACGAAGTAGCCTACCCAAGAACATTCGTTTTTATGAGAGTTGTTTGTTTGGTGCGATCACATATCTACTAAACTAATTCTTCTTAAGATCGTTATAACTGTTCTTTATCCGTCTTTGTAAGACGCTATCGCAACTGATCCGCGAAAGTCTTTAAAGTTGTGTTATCTTCGACAACGAAACTAATCGTCCGTCGTTTGAAAGGTATTGATCAGAGATCGATCGGTCCTGAAGCTCCATCCCGTTTATAATAGCTTGTGTATCGGATAGCCTCTATTTCGGAAGGACTTCGCGATCTTGCAGTGTTGCATATTAATTTTTTGAGTTCTCGAGTTCAATATATATATATATATATTTATTCATACACGTCTGAGTTCAAACTGTGTGCCTAACAAATTACGGTACAACAATTTTTATAAAAAAATGTTCATGGTTTGCTAGAATGCGCGATACCGCTAGACGGCTTAGGCCAAAGCAAGCGAATTTTCCTAGGGAGTTAACAAGCGGAGCATTCGGTTGGCCAAAGCCTGACTCGCAAGACAGTGGGGCGCTGTGTAAAGTTTCAGTTTCAGTTTGTACAACCATCAATCACGCATATTCGTGCGCCGGTTTTGGTTGCTGTCTTTTGGCTGCCAATTTGGATGAAGAATAGAAGAATAAAGGAAAGTTGAAAGTGGAGTTGAACAGAAAATGGAAAAGTTCAGTGGTCTAAGGTTGCAAAGAAATTGAGGAGACGCACGAACGCCACTGTTTACGACACCCAGCCATATCACTCAGTGTCTCTTACCATCAATTACGATCATCCCGAGGTCCTCTGCCAGGGAGCCTAACTGGACCTATGTGGCGGTGTGTAAAAACCGTAATCCAATGGAGGCCGATGTCCAGTTCAGCGGAGCATACACCCTTTAAATGGGGTCAAACGTCCTAGGTGCCCCATACACCTCTATACTCAATCGAACCGGTGACCGCTACTAAAACCAAGAAGCGGTAGGTTAGTGTGGTTCATATACCTATTCTTGGTTGGTTTTGAATCAGGGTTTTTAGCCAACTCCCCTAAATGGACTGCCAGATATTGGCTTTTCGTTCTTTCACCTTGGTGGGAAAACAGCTCCATTTCCTGAAGGCAGTGAGTAGGGCTTCTGCAGCCGGAGCTATTTCATACGCTTGGCCGTATGGAAGCATTTCACGGGGTGGAAAGAAGGAGCGACCAGTCGCAACTCGAAACTCACACCTCCCGACCATACGGAGGCTTTCAGAGGCACATTGTATTTGTGGTTATTCGCGAATCCGGGATTTTAAATAATTCACCAAACAAAATATCTGGCATTTTCAAAGCCTTTCCTATCAGTTACTTGGTATGCTTTGACAGTCATCTTGCTCGCCCTCGTTTTTTTTACAAAGTTCATTCTAAATCAAGAAATGCCTGACCATTCAACACAATCGCACGGAAAATCAATCAATGCAAATCTAAAAAAGATAGTTTAACAAGGACATTTTTGACCTGTGTCCTTAAACGTTGTTTATATAATCGTCCATAATCTTACACTTGTTCTACTCACACTTTATTTCCAATCTTGGTGATATCTGTCTCAACCGATAAGCTGTGGAAATTTTGGAGATCAGTGGAGATCTCAAATTGAAACAAATACCGGTGAAAGTTGAGAAGTAGATGTTACCTGCACATATTTTTAAACCGTCTCCTCAACTCTTGTAATATCTTCACAACTTTACAGGGGAAAACTCATNNNNGGATGGTGCTGTGGGGGTAAAGTTCACCCCTTACGCCAACGAAGCATTAGACGCGCGTCTGACTCGCTTTGGAGCACACTAGTAGTACATGTCCTCCGAGTCATGTTTGAAAATTTCAAAAATATGTATATTCATATGGTGAATTTTGTCGTGTAAGAAGCAAATGACAAGTAAACTGAAAATCTAGAAAGCACTGGACAGCTGTTTCGACCTGGTTAGGTCTTATAAGCAGTGCGAATCCATCAACTAAACTGGGGATCGAACCTAGGACCTCACAGGTAGAAAGCAAGCACACTGCCCACTCGGCCACCAGACAGCTGATTAGATCGCTCGTCATTTTCCTTATGCACAAAATAACACAACCCATCTTTACGAGCTTATCGCAGGCGTCACAATTTGCGCATCTCAGCACAACCCTGTTTGAAAGATTCCAACTCGATTACATCATATGTACAAACCAAATCCACCATTTACGTCATGACAAGTATATATGTCAAGGAATCAGCGTGGTCCCTGAAAATTACTTTGTTCTGGGATAACCAATCAGAACACTGGTAGGCGGACTCGGGTGATTGACCGGAACCGCCAACCAATCAAGATGGTTGACAGCAATCCAGCCAACCAATCGTTTGATATATGCATTCCCCTGAGCTCGCTCTTTCCTATAAATAATCATGATTTTCGCACAATAAATGAATTCCTACACGCTTCCAGCTGTGCTCTACTTCACTGTCCGTGGAGTTCCTATCTGGATGAGAAACAATATATATATATATATATATATATATATATATGTATATGTATATGTATATGTGTATAGTTTTAATACCAATCTTTACTGTTACAACGCCAAAGAAAGACCCATATTTCTGACTTAGTCCTTCTGAAGCCGAATGTAGTTTAAATTCTCTTTCTTGCATGTTAAATACCTAAGGTAATTTCTACAGTGATCGATGATTAATCCTTTTTAGCGGCTAAATGTCCATCCGATGTGCCGTTACTGGAGTGTGTGTTTGTCGGGATGGATAACATGAACGACGGGTCTTTTAAAAGAGATTATCAATTGTGGATGATAAAGTTGATACAATTTCCATTGCCTTTCAGACAATTTTGGCCGCTTGGCGTCATGTGGGTCGATCCGTCATGTCGCAAGGAGAGAATCAGCAAGACTTGGGTTTGTGGAAAGCCTACGGC